CTTTTTCAGTGATTCTGATTATATGGTTATTACAAACACAATGAGCATTCTCAAACTAGATGACGTCATGCATGACTTCTTGCCCCAATCCTCGCTCTGCTAGTTTCACTTTGAATGGAGTTGTGTGTAAAGTAGGAAGTAACAATACGATGGCTAGTAATGCTGAATTACCGTCTGGATACGACTATGAGTTTGTTGTACAAGTACCTGAAGACTACATTTGTAGTATTTGCCATCTTGCAATGCTAAAACCCGTACAGACAAGATGTGGACATCGGTTTTGTAAGGGCTGTTTGGACGCAGCTTTACAGAGGTCAGTAGGAAATATATTTGGAAATATCAATTCTTTTGAAATCAACTTTGAAATGTTGATGAATGTTCGTATCAAAAACTTTCGTCTTTTTGGTAAAGAAATCAATGGATATCGACAGTGAGATTGTAAATTATCTGAAATCAAATCTCTTAAAAGGACAAAATTAAACTCAGTCTTGAATGGAATGTCATAATTGAGCTTGGGTATCATGACCTGTCACAATGCAAACTGTCACACGACTGAAACAGAGAACGGAGAAGAGCAAAGAATGCAGTTTCGCGAAGGAAAGATATTTGTCATTCAAAAAAGTAGGAATGTGTCAATCTTTCCCTTCTTAAACATTGTTTAGGAAGATTCAGGATAAAAAAAAAAAGAAAAAAGAACAGCCTGCTGTTCAACAAGGAGAAGGCCATTGGTCATTGGTGAGGGGGAGCGATGGACCACTGGAGGAGGGGGAGGGAGAAGGGACACCAAAACCCCAAAATACGGGTAATTTTCAAGTCTTCAGAAATTGTATTACTTGTTTGGATGTTATTTTGCTCATTATGAAAAAGTTTATAACATTGTACACAGTTCTCCGGAGATTTCTGTCGCGGTGCATCAAATCTATCTAGATATCTACCGTGAATGAAAACAATTGTAAATACAAAATCTCTGGACTGCTGAAAAACTAAGTTCCTATTGTAACATTTTTACAGAAAACGAAAATGTCCCCTTGACAATGAGTTTTTGACCTCAAAGCAGGTAAGTAATTCTATAAACTGGCATTGTATATTACTATGTGAAAGTAACTTAATTAATATTAACCTTTTCTCAAAGATATTTGAAGATAAAGCGACCGAGCGACAAATTCTTTCACTCAAGATAAAGTGTCCAAACCATTGTGATTGGCAGGGAGAAATGAGAGATGTCAAGGTATATGGGAGAGTAATTACTATAAATGATAAAAAGTTTTACATAACATTTTATATCAAAAATAGGTCATTCTTTCAATAAAAATATTTCTAAGAAAAATATTGATGCTGATGACTGAGTGTACGGTCCTTCTCACCGGTTTTTTTTCTTTTGCCATTAAGTCGATCTAATGACCTTAAAATAGCATTTGATTGTATTACCCATAAATGTAATAACAACCATAAATGTAATACCCACCATAAATGTAATAAAAATCAACCATAAAATAAATGTAATAACAACCATAAATGTAATACCCACCATAAATGTAATAAAAATCAACCATAAATGTAATAACAACCATAAATGTAATAACGATCAACCATAAATGTAATAATCGACCCCACCATAAATGTAATAACTTTTAACCATAAATGTAATATTCGAGACCAACCATAAATGTAATACCGTTTTATAGCATTTAACCATAAATGTAATAATCAGTTACTAAACATTTCTCTTTACTGCTGGTATTCCTCTGCCTCAACGGGATAATAGTAGCATTTGTCACATGACAGTATGACGTCATAAGAGATGCGTTTTAGGAATAGGCAATATACAAAACCATTTTAATATGTAACAAAGCATGATGGGAGTTCAATTCCTAGCACATTTCTTCATTTCCGACAAACCGTCTTTTTTTTCTTTCAAAACAACAAAAGTAGTAAATCTCTTACGACCAAGGAAAGAAGCAAGCACTACACCTCCTACCTTTCGTTGTTGTACAAATTTTGTACTTTAAATGACGTCGTTGTACATTTCCAATTATTTATAATCTTGTAGCATCCTGGTGTCGAAACATAGGAAACCGCCAGAGTAAGAGAAACACCAAAAAAATATAACAACAACAACAACAACAACAGGAAGCTTGCACTGAGTCGAGAATTGTGGACCGTTTAAAGGGCTGAAATGAATATTTTAATTTTATATTTTTGCGTTATTTCTTCGAATATGTGAAAATCTTGTATTAACTTAAAATTACTTAAGAACACTTACCCTAAGACCATCAAGCCATATCCTTCGCCTAGATGTGATTATTTATACATTTCAAAACAAAAAACAAAAAAACAAACGCTAGTTGAATCATCGAAATTAAAGATCCTTACACATTAAATGACATCAAACCCTGACTTTTCAACCATTCCCATGAGATTCAAAAGGTAAAAGACCGGCAGCCATATTGGAGGAAGAAACAGTAGATACTAATGAGAGCGTTTGTCGAAGTTCCTCAAAGATTCCGCTGTGACGTAAAGTGCATGCAAGCAAACAACACTTAACAAGGAGAACGTTAGTTTCAACGCATTTTGAAGGATGGAAATCTAAATGTCGATATTCCGTCAACTTTTTGTCCAATTCGGTAGCAAAATCTCATAGATAATCATTAAGTGTTAACTAGCCTAATTACTTACCAACACCAAACGTCCCGCTAAAGGTTGCGTGCTGTTAATTCTCGGTTCAGACGCATTACAACTGAGAGATGCAAAAACATTTTACCATGCATCTACATGCCAGGTGGGATTGAAAGTGCTATCGTCAGTGTACGCGGTCTTTTAAAGAAATTTGGACGTTCCAGTGGTCTGATTCTTAGCTTGAGGAAAATTGTCTCTGGATCCAATT